AACCTTGCCACGCAAACCCAATACAGCTAGAAGGGATTATCTACTATGGATTTTATTTTCAGACTAATTTTCTCCTTCTGTGGAGATTCTTAAGGGGTACAAAGAGGCATTGATTTTATCACTTCCATCTTCCATACCTTATGGGAAAAAAATGTGCCGAGAAGTAATAGTGGAAAGAGAAAGGATGTGGCCTGTCAGCTTCTTGGAAACATACTTCTGGTTCTGCAAAAGGTGTCTTGATTTGAGCAACCTTTTTGGTTTTTTCTAGCAACAGAACTCTTGCAGATCTTCTTTAGCTAGTTGCAGAGTCTCTAAGGCAGCAGCTGCAGAGGATTAGCATTTAAAAAACAAAGGAAAAAAATGTTTTCCTTTCATAGTTACTGAAGACATGGAGTTATCAGAAAACTTTATTTACATAGTAAATATATGTTGGTTATTATTTTTTGTTATTTAAAAATATGAAAATGAATTCAGTAGTGTTTAAAATGGTAATAGTGTGTTGTCTAAAACTTCGTTGATTATTAGGAAGAGTTATAGTTGCTGGATGTTTAGGACACTACGGGTTATCTTACACTGGCTTGTTCTTTTGTGATGTTTATACTAAAAACTAATTATTTTTCGATAGTTAAAATGTTAACAAATGATTATAGGTTTCCTGCACACAAATTTTCAGCAAGGGCACACATTTAAGGTGAATGAACTAGGTAAAAGGGGATAAATACTTTCATCCTTCTCTGCCAAAGGGGCACACACATCTGAAGCTGACTGTACGTTATAGTACATATATACTTTGTATTTTCTTTCCTTGTTCTTCTCACTTCATCACCTTGATTTTCAGTAGTGTACTATTTGAAGACTGTTCACTTGGGAATGTCCTCTACCATAATAAGATAATATTGTCTGAAATAATCTGTTGCAGACGCTGATTCAGTAAAATACAGGTTACTGTATTGAATTTCAGTATAAGAATATTGCCAGAGTGAGCAGTTTAATTTCTTTTAATTTTTATATCTTCTTAACATTATGGCAGTTGAGATCAGCAGTTGGTGACTTGAACAGTTAGTACCTCTGTTTTATTCTGAGGATTTTGAACTCAGAGCATTTTCCTTCTTGTGCAGATTTCTGAGACATTATTTAGTCATGTACTAGAATGCCTTTTGGGACAGTGGAGGGTCTTTTAAAATTGAAATTCTGGTTAACCAAACCATATATAAAATCAGTACAGCTTGCAATGCAGAGAGGAGCTTAAGGTTGGAGGAATTTGTAATTTTTCAAATGTTAGTCCTAATTTATGTGACTCTATTTATCTTATCTATATAATTATGCCCAGAGACTGAGAATTACCTTCTAGAATAAGTGCTGCATTTTTGTCATTTTATGATATATGCTCTTATTTTGGGAAAAATCGTGTACTTTATTCCTGTAAGGAGAAGAAAAAGAAAAAAGAAAGGCTTAATTCATTCTACTGGGGAATGGGCCATCTTTGGGGAATGTTAGAGAAGCTGGTACACTCTTCAGTGACACATCTGGCAGAGTTGGCAGAGTCACATACAGGGTGATGTGACTGATGTGCCAAACACATGACACAAGAGAAGCTTAAGCCTCTCTGTATTCTGCTGTTTATTCTCTACTAGTACAAATGCATGTCCATTCAGAGAGCTTCTGTCTTTACTGACAGCTGAACTACTGCAGTGTTCCTGCCTATCTGAGATGAAAGAGAAAAGAAAATCGCAAAGCACCAAGTAGAATTTTGAGACTCTCATAAAAGAGAGAGTCAGAGTCATGTTTTCTAATCAGTAGCACGTCATAATTATACGTAGGACAGTGGGGGCTCTAATTTATGCCTGCATTGAACCCAAACCCATCTATGGTCACCCATAGCTGACCGATATGAATTCTTGCATGCAGTTTTTTGTTCTGATTTGTTGTAAAAAAAAAAAACCTCCAAAACTATTCATGGCTGTTAAAATTGTAAAGTAGGAGTCCTGTTAAAAATTATGGATGAAGTACATAATTGCTGCTGTTTGCATATTTGGAATTCCCTTGCTCTGTAAACAAATCTAGCTGTGGGAAGAGAGCAACTAAGAGGGGAGTTGGGGTCATGCTTAATTGAAGCATTGTTTGCATACACCAGCAGGCACAAATGAAATCTGGGACATAGAATAAAGAATTCTCATGCTGCTTGACTTTCTTTTTGCAGTTAAAGGAGGGTGAGGGCTGTTGACCTCAATAAAATCTGAGCAGTGAATAGAAGATCTTGTAATCAGTATCTTAGAAGGAGGTAGAGTGAGGAGTGGAGAAGTAGTGTTGGATTGCTTCCACTAGCCACCCTAAACTGTTACATAAATTAGGTCAATGCTGAATCTGAAAGCAAAATTTATCTACCTACTTAATTGCAAAGTTGAGTTCTCAATATCACTTTGTCTGATTACAGAGCAGAGCAGCAGAGTGTGATGAACTGCTGAGAATAGAAGAGGACGCACAATGGCAAACAGACGAAATGTAAGTATTTTTTATATATCTGTAAGTAATTAGCTGTGTCATTTGATTGGATTGACCAGAACTGGCATTTCCTTATCAGTTAATAATTTTGTAGACTTGGAGGCATGAAAGAAGCACAGCCTTGCACTTTGTGTGTGCTGAATGTTTTACACATTATTGCCTAATAGAGAGAATGTTATAATACAACTAAGTAATTTGTATGCACCAATAGTGCTGTAATATCTTTTACCTTTGCAGAATGCAAGCTTTTTAAATAGGCGTTTTAATATTTAGCCTGTTAATGGCATTGATAAAAAAGGATTTTGTCAAAATTTGTAGGTTCTAAATTTAATGTACATTGTTTAAAATGTAATTGAATTAGAAAAAAATGCCTCAATCTTTTCTTCTTTTGACATAATTTTAACCCTGAAACACTCATTAATTCATTCATAGACGTTAATTCAAGAGTGGAGCAAGTGAACATTATTTCACCATGTACTGTGAAGTTGTGTTCACTAAGCAGAGTAGTGGAGTCCTATATGATTTAAAAATGAAAATTGAAGGAAGAGAAATATAAGTACTTTCTGAAAGAGCCTTATTGGCAGATCTAACAGATGATTGTGCTTCTAAACCCCAAAAAGAATTACAAAGCAAAAGAAAGCATGCTGGTTCATCAAAAGAATTGTATCTAGTACTTATGTTAAAACAATACATGTGATGAATGCAGTTAATAAGAGTCAGATACTGGTAAATACATTTTCAATTTAGTAGTCAGTCTGTTTAATTGAATGCTAAAAGCTTTAGTTCATCACATTTTTTATCTATGTATGTATTGGCTGCAGGGCTTTCTTAAAGACAAAGTGCTGGAGAATTTTTTTCAGAAGAAACTTTCCATAAATTCAGCACATAACTAGTGTGCACAGTGACTGTTTTTTCCCCCGCTATAGTGTTTGCATGCCTGTTGGAAGATACAGCTCACAAATTGAAATTCAGACTACCCTTCATAATTGCTGTTGTACCTCTTTTTCTGAATGCTTTTGTTTTCTGTTGCAGAATAAATTTATCAGAAGATCAAACTATTGATATAGCAATGATAGAACAACTAAGAGAAGCAGTAGATTTATTACAAGATTCCACCAGGTATGCTTACAATACCTGACAAGTTAATGTAATGTGTTTAATATTTTTTTTAATTTAGAGTTATTTTTTAACTGATAATTGAAAGTTCTTTGGAGTTACGAAGTGCTTTGTTAGCACCCTGATTTTTTTTCAGGAGGTGCTTAGATAGCTAAGAAGGAAATGTGCATTGTCTCTCTGAGTATCTAGATAAGATTCCCTGTAAATTAAGAAGAATTTGAAAGAAACCTAAATTTAGAGTTGGAGACACTTCTTAACCATTCATCTCATGTACACTACTGTGATTTTCTGAAGTTTTGTCTAGGATAATCACATTTCTTATATACTCTCCTCTGCTTATTCATACTTGGTCTATTTTGTGGGGATTGGAGAAGGTCTTCTGTCCCAAACTCATTCCACCTTAGGGGAGCACATGAAGGAAGTACCTGAATTAATGGTGGAATTTCTGTAGTCTCCCTCTGAAATCAGGAGAAAGAGGAAGAGGCAACTAGAAGAAGTTATTTAGATTTCCCCTGACTACTGAAGGCATAGTTTTATAATTCAGGTGTCTATTTTAAGTAGCTAAAGTCAGGTGGAATGACTCTGGATCTGTGAATAAACAAAGGAATAAGTATTTAAAAGAAAATAAATGTGTGTCCTACTGAAAAAGGACTGACAAGAATCATGTAGGTAGTTCTGTGCAGGTGCTTGCCATTTTTTTGTGTGTGACCACTTCCGAACTTGATTATGTTCATTTCAGAACTAGGCAACACATTTTTCTTCATTACTTGTATGAAGCAGATGGTTTAGACCTTAATTTCTCTGAACACTAGAAACCCCCGTGTCACTTCCAGCTTAAACTATCCTTGTTTCTCCTTCGTCCCTTGGCCAGTGCACTGTAGTTGTTTGTTCTTGTGACTGTGCTGTTTTAATTTAGTTTAAATACCTATTTTGATACTGCTTTTTCACCTAGCAGATCTTTCTACTTTTTAGGACAGAAATTCACTCCTGTTAGTATTTCTAGAGAGACAATTATCTGTATTTATTTTGAATCGTATAGAGAGTACTTGAATTCTTGAATCATTTATTAATACTTGAATCACAAGTATTTTTGCTTAATAAAAAGTCATACAAATTTTAGTTCCTGTTGCTTCTGCACCTCATATGAGGCTTATTATTTTGTGGGAGGTATTGCAATTAAAAAAGGAAAAAGTTTGATCTGGAAAAAAGTGACATTAAAAAAATCAGTTGTTAGCCTTATAAATTTTATCATTTTGTTTGTTGTCAAATATTGCCACTATTTCCTACATGTTTTCTTTTTCTTATTAAATGAAAAAGGGCAGTAAAATACAGAAAATTAATACATTTCTCCATGCATATTCAGATGTGCTTTTGTTAGTGACACTACAGTAAATTTGAAATGTGGCTTTTAAAAATGGCTAATCATGTCATGCATGTCTGTATTTTTCTACTCCTTTTTTACATAGTGTTTATTTTTGTGGCTGCACTTTCTTTTTCTAACCCAAAAATATGAGTATTTGTTTTTAATTTACTGAGCGTGATAGAAGCTTTTCAATGTGTATCTCCTGTATGTTAACATACAGACTTACCCAGCAAGATACGCCTAGGTGCCTAATACTTGCCAAATGATGCTGTAGACTTTCAATCCTCTGGGCCATGAGTTCCTCATAATTGCTTTTATAATTACTGGATTACATGGCAGTTTGTTATATACTTGCATTATATAAAGCAATGTGAGAAAATTTTGTTTTTCATACTGAATAGTTTTGTGTCTTTATCCAGATCCATAAAGGAATTTAAATGCTTCCATTGCTCCTTAGTTTGATGCAGAAAGGCCTTCATGTGCTTTTAACTTAAACCCTAGAGCATGTCTAAAAATTATAACTTTCCCCAAAGAGGTTTTCTTTGTGCATCAGTATAACTCTAATCAACTAGTCAGGATAACCTAGTTGAAATAATAACTCTAGCCAGAATTATACTTCTCTCACACTGAAAGCTATTTAGGAGTTAGAAAGAGAAACCACTGTAGGGGCTGAAACAGTAGGTGATGCTGACATCCCTAATATGCACTGAATAGACTTCAGCGGAGAGCGCATCAAGTGGAACTGTTTTTGCTAATGGATATGATACGACTATTAAACTTAAAATGCTTGTCCAGTTACTGTTGTTGTTCTGTAGAGTTTAAAATCCACATACCCTGTGTGCACGTAAGTAGCATTTCAGTATTGGAAATGAAAATTATTTCAGAGTCAATCTTTTTTCAGTATTTTCAGATGTTTGTTTCAGATTCAGGGCTGTGGCTTCTATTTGAACATAAGGTACTAGAAGTTGAATATAGAAATCTACAGCCTTCTAGATAATGGCATGGTTGCTGGTAGAAAACAGGTCCTTTTGTTTTGATACAAGCCATTGCTCAGGGTGACATTTTGCAGAGGAAAGCATCAACGTTACTTTGACTGAACTAGTGATAGTGAAGCATCAGGAGACATTTCAGAAAGTTGTTAAGAGATAACACTTAGCAGGTTAGAACCGTGACTATAAAAGTATTTCATACATCCATTTGTTTGAAATTAAATACTGAACAGGATGGTTACCAAAGCTGTACCCCAGTGCAACATTTTTATTTCAAACTTTGCAGATTAAGCATGGATATTTCAGAAAGCAGTGGTGTGAATCTGTATTCCATGGAACCAGCAACAGCTTTAGAATTTCAGGAGTCTACAGTAAAGTGTGTTTATCTACCTTTTTTAGGAAAAAAAAAAAAAAGAAAGCCTTTGTTAGATTCGTCATATTTAAGTTTCTACACAATGAATTACATATTTGCATTTATTTATCTTTATATATAGTGATCAAATGCAGATGGAGATGTCTTCCCTTGGTCAGGTATGTTAATAAGTGTATCACAAAATATTTGGGGAGGGGAAAGACAGGAAATGAGCAAACAATTTCATCACTTATTAATCTGCCAAGTAAGGAAGGGGAAAAAATAGTAGGTTGCAGGACAAACATTTTTATGGATTTGTTTTTGGATTTTTATATGTGTATATATAATTTTTTCTGCATTTATAATTTACATTTTCACCTTATTTTGTTTTCTCCTGTGTGCAGCTTTCATGTATGCTGGTTCATAGCTCAGCCACGCATACTCATCTACCATCTCACCTCTCTATCTTCCTGTTCTGATGTAGCAAAACAGTACATTCATTAAGGATAACCCCAAAATATTTTTTAAACTAAAAATTAATGTTTTCCCAGAGCACTGGAGTTTTACCGTGCTGCTTATTATTTGATCTGTGTCCTGACTGGTGAATTCCTTATGACATACTTTGTTTAGATTTACATTATCTACCTGTTACTGCTGGAACTGCAAGTATATAGTATCTGCTTACTTCTTTGTTCACTGTTCATCACAGTGTTTGTAAGAAATACTTCTGAGGTAATGTTATGCAAAAAAAGATATAGTTCTATTTCCAGCGATACACAGTCTAAAGAGTTATTTATCTTACAGAGAGAAAATGCTGAAGAGGAACTAGAATTTCAGAGGAGGAGGGAGTCGATTATGGAGAAACCAAAGCCTGCAGTGAGAACGTGTGAACAGGGTGAAAAATGGTCATTGAGTCAGGTATGGAGGTGTTTGGTACAATAAGTGTTGAAACATTGGGGATGGATCACTGCATTCTAACAAACTGTTAGACAGTTTGTGTGTGGAGATAGTGGGTTTAGGCCCATTGTGGGGGTTTTTTTTGTAGTTTTGGGTTTTTTTTGTGGTGGTGTTTTTTTTTTTTTCTCCTTTGCCTTAGCATGAATCTCAAGGTTTGGCTCTAAATGGGAGGTTGATTAAGACCTAGGAAAAAAAAAATGATATAATGAAATTAATTAAAATCTTTTCTTCAAATATAAACAGTGGTTGCATGCCCCTGGAGAAAAATAAGTCACCTCGAAGTTAGATCTTCAATAAAATGCAGCACCTGATTCCTCTTCCCCTTCACCCCAAATACTCTTGGTAGTTATGTAAGCTGCTAGGATTTTGTTAACACCAGTATTTTTAATGTGCTTAATATTACAAACACACTGTATATAGGTTGAGATTATAAAGTCCCAAAACTATTTTAAGTTTTGTGTAAATTGCAATGAACCAGAAATTAAGAACTAAGAAAAAAATCTAATTTAAATATTTAGTGCATGCTATTACTTTAGAACTTGTTTGTGTAGGGATTTTTGTGACTGCTATTTCTGAGAAAAAAAGTTACATAATGTTCTGTCTCTCTTGGTAGTACCTTAATAAGGTCTATCTTATCCAGACATAGATTGAATCTGGTTTATTTTGATGCTTTTCAAATATTCTTATGTATAATCATCATTACCGTCAAATATTCCCTATGATCTCTTTGTGACTTTGTTAGTCTTAATTTCATCTTTGTTTTTTCTTTAAAGTAACAAATTCAAAGAAAAAATTTGAGTTGTTTCATCTCTTTCATTATGTTGTTGTACATTGGGGTTACCACAATTTATTTGTAACAGTTCTTTCTACATTGCTAAGATTAATAGATAAGGCTAATTCAGTGTCAAAATGTGTGTGATTTCTGTATTTTGATGAACTGTTTAATAAGGACACTGCTGATTCACTTTTAAGAACCTTTTAAAAAGGAGAAATAAATCTTCCTAAACAGTTACAGAGGGCCTGATCTGGACTGTGTTATGCAGGTGGAAGCATTAGGCGTGTTCCATGAAATGGCAACACATCTTGGAAGAGCAATTTTTTAATCATGCTACATTTTGTGTAGTACAGTAAGCACTTGTGTTACTAAATTAAGTAAATCTAGCATAAATTCAAAATTCTGACTAGTGACCTTGCTGATGTGAGAGAGATTAGACTTTCAGTGTAGGCATATGCAGGCATAACTAGCAAATCTGTCACAAGAACATAGTCCCTGAGCACAGGAGTGCTCAAGCATGTGAGTCTCCAGGTAGAAGAACTGTCTGGGATCAGATGAGTGCGATTTCTTTCTGTTTATTCTAGGTAATACAGTGGTTGAGGTAATACTATGAAAGATGTCTAAAGCTCAAGAATTTTTTTTAAGCTTGAAAATTAGCCAAGTAAGGTCCTGAAGCAAAATGGGTGTGTAATCTTCCCTCCCATCTTGCTAACTTTTGGAAAGCTGATGGGACCAAGTGTTCCAAGTGCCATCTTTTATTTTGTTTCCATTTTTTGCTGATTAATAATAATAAAAAATTGTCTTAAGGAAATTATTTGAATTGAATTATAATTTGTTTTTACTTATGCCAACTGTGTTTCTGCTGACTGAGTTACGATTGATGCAGAATTAATGATTGTATTTCATATTTATTAACATGATTTACATGTTTCCAATTTAACTGTAGCAGAAGTGGTAAGAAAAGGTATGTTATATTGGAATTATAAAATGAACTTATTATGGAATGCTTCTCTCTCCAAATCTATGTTAAAATCTATATTTGTATATTAAACTCTTGGTTATAGTTTCATTACAAATTCTGTGGAACAAAAATGGATAATGCATTTGAAGCAACAAATGTAAAAATCTTACAAATACCATTATAATCACTTAGGACTGAAACTAAAAAATGAATGACAGATCTGTGCAAATAATTTCCACAAGGTTTTTTAAAATGTTCAACTTGCAATAAATGTACTTATTATTCATTAAAATTAATTGTTTCAGTGAAAAAAAAAAAAGGTATTAATGTGTATCTGAGTATCATGAGTAAAATATTCTGATGTGGAATGTCACTAATATAGTTACTGAAATGTTTCCCCCCCCTCCTTTCTAAACACACAGAACGAGCTAATTGTTTGGAATTCAAGTGGACAAACCTCTCACAATGAGGTAAGGTGCTGGTGCCATTTGTCTCTTACATGTTTTATATGAATGGTTCATATACTAAATGAAACATATAATTCAATATCACAGAAAATGTGACTTAGCTCATCTGTAATGGCTATGTGGTTTATTCTTGTCATCTTAAGGATTGCCTAGAGTTTAAAAATATACTTTCTGATAGCTTGTTTCTGAATCATGTAGTTTAGTATAAAAGTTTTTTTTTTTTTTTACATTTTGTTTGTTCTGCCACGTTTTCTTTTTTTTTTTACTTTTCTTTGTTCCACAATTGTTTCTGTTGATTTTAGTGCAATTTCTTTTTGCATAGTCGTGTCATATCATTGATTAGTTTTCAGAGAGGAATCTGGTTTTATTGATCCTATTACTTTCACAATGCGAATCTCAGCAGAAAGACAAACAGGGAAACTGTAGGGAGCTCCTCATGGAGATTTTTCCCCTTCATATTTTCTGTGTAGAAACAGGGCTTCTCGCTCTACATTGCACTGTGTATGAGGATCTTGCACATTCATATCCATCCAGCCACCTTCCACCAGTCTTGACTGGACTCCTATAGTTCCTGGCTCCCTGAGGAATCACTTTTTAAACAGGATTCCCATGATGGAGTTTGGTTATAGGACTCTCTCTATGTTACCACTGGTGGTATGATGATTATACCAGCAAAATCCAGGACACTTGCCTTCTCCTTTATGCTGTTACTCCATTCTTCCTGCTGCAACTGTTAGCCTGGTTTGGTGTCAAGGGTGATGCTGCTCTGAGGTGTCAGCTTAGCTTCATCTTTTCTGCTTTTTAGGCGGAAATTAAATGTTGCATGGAAACTACCGTGCAGAATGGTAATTTAATTCTGTGAAAGAAACAAATGTATCTAAGAAAAAAACATGCCTTTGCTTTGTTTTTCTAAATGTACTATGCCACCAAAATATATGTTTGATGGAACCAAGCAATTATATGGAAGAAAACTGAGAAATAATTGAGCTTATTTATAGCTAGGGGGAATATCCTGCAGTCTTTGGTCAGAAACTTTTATTTTCCAGAAAAGGAATAGGATGGAGTAAAAAAGGGAGATTATCATAGGTTTGAGGATATATCGTGATCAGATTATGTTGTAACAGTTGTGGTGTGCAGTACTGTGAATGTTTCCATTTTATACAGTCAATTGTACTGAGGTATTCTGGATGTTACTCTTACTTAGTTTTATGTTCTTAAATTACACAGAACAAGGATAAAAGTCCAGCAATGTCTCCTACTACAAACGCCACAATCCCTTTTGGCCTGAAGCCACGATCAGGTAATGTGGGAAAGAAAATTAACCAATTTGTGGGTTTGTTTTGGTTTTCTTTTAAACTGAATTTGTAACAAGTATGTATTTGGCACATTATATATGAATCGATTTTCATCCCTTACTAATAAATCAGGTGTTTTATAAAACTATCTGTATATATGTTTTAAAAATATGTGTATATGTACATAAATACACATTTTCTACATATATACATATATGTCAAAAATGCTGACATACTAATTGAAATATTATTTTTGCTTAGTTGGTATATAGGGATACAGTTTAGATTTTGTTGAATAATATATATGAATAATTAAGCTTGTTTGGAAAATGCTTATGCATTGCTCTGAAAACTACTCATTGCAGTAAGTCTTTCAGTAGTTATGCTTGTGTAAGGATCTAGCATTATAGGAAGAAAGTTGTTTACTTCAGCCAGCAGATGACTTTAATGTATTTGCAATGCATTAAATCTGCATGACCATCAATCTTTTAACAAGCAGCAGTTTATTTATTAAAAAAAAAAATCCCACAACAAAAACCAACAAAAAAACCCCAAACAAAACCCCAAACCCTATAGATGTATTTGAAGGCTTGGATAACAGCTTCTTTTAAAAACAGCATTAGTTACAGGGTTAAATTCAGTTTTTGTCTTCTTTGTGCTGAGGTAGTCAATGTTGTTGAGTCATCTCACATCACCTCTAAAGAATTACTGTAGGTTTTTCAGTATGTTTCAGCATCCTAAAACTGTAATTTTGGTTTCTTGTGTTCACCGCAAATGCTTTTAATCAAATGCTAGTAAACCACTACAAGCTTGTAGTTTCCATAACAAAATATCTTGGCAATAATGGCAGCAGTTTCATATTTGAATGTTTAAGAAATTGTACCCATAGATTTGTTTTTTTAAAAAAAAGTTTTAAAAAGCAAAAAATATGGTATTGAACCAGCTTTGTTTCATGAAGAGGGTATTTTAAATTTCTCATGTAGTTATGATATACCATTTGACAGATCTATTCAGTTGCATTTCTTAGTTTATTGGACTGTTAAACTCTGACTCTATTCTTAAGTTTCTGATGCTTTACAGATGTTTTTATTTCTCTCTATACTAAAGTATGGGTTAAATGATGAGCAAATGGGTCCTTTCAAGATTTGGAGAAAAATAGAACATTGAGTAATGTTGCACAGTCCAGTAGCAACATTGTGATAATACCATGAGGAGAAAGACGTGTGAAGGCAAACAGGCCCATGCTGTGTTTCTGCTTTCATGGGATGTAACCTGTGTTCTGCTGAGCTGCTGGTGAAATGTGCTGCTGGGGACTGGAAGCAGCATTGTGGGAGAGAATGCAAGACCATGATGTCTTGTTCAAGTCTTAGTTTAACATGTGCTTCTGAATCTTGGTATATCAGTGCACCAAGATGTGCTTTACCTAATGGCTGCAATAGATCAGGGCAAAATAGCCTAGTGAGTCTTTTTTTAGAGGATTTCTAGGAATTCTAGATTGCAGTGGTTGCAGTCCTTTGCAATAAATCCTTCAAGTTGCCTGATAGATGACCAGATGGGCACAGTTCCTACAGTTCTTCTGTCTGTATTGCAGCTGTGCACAGCCCCATGAAATACCAAAGTCAATTGGTTATAACCTGTTGATTTTCTGTACTGTACCAGTCATATATTTGAATTGCATTGAGTATGCCAATACTACAGTGTCTTATAGTCACAGCTATGGGTTGCAGAAAACTTGATACTCTGAATTTATTTTCCTTTCCATATCATACACCACAGAGTCACCAACCTAGAGCCATTACTGCACAGTCTTTCACCTGATCACATCCAGTTTCAGCCATGTTACTTTAAATTTATCCCATGGTAAGACAGGGGAATTTGACAATAGTAAAACTTTAGGTCCAACTTCAGATAAAAAGACAGTATATTAGGTATGTAGCACAACGTAACAAAATGAAACCTTGCAAAGGAGTAGTGAAGCTGCATATTGTTTCCTCTCCTGCTCCCACTCTAGAGTTACTCTAAAAGTAGTATTAAAATTTGTTTTACTAACACATAAGTATAATTTACAGATAGAAGTAGTACATGACTGAAAATATTTTTTGCGAATCCTGTGTGGTTTTCCCATTAAAGCTGGTTAGCTTGCCATGTCTCTAATTTCTTCACTGTATTTCCTTTAAAATTTTGTGTGAGTTTGAACCGTCCTATCACTGTCTGAATTTGTGCTTGTTAATTATATACTGCTCTATCGCCCTAGAGCTGAGCTAGTCTAGGGGTCCAGGAATTCTGTGATCCAGGAAAGTTTTTCAGCTCAGTTTGTGGTTTTATTTTAATTGCTTTTTTCATTTAAGTTCTTCATGGCCTTAGGGGAAGCCTTATAACTCATTGGAAATGAGTTTTAGCTATTTAACTTCATTAGAGCTTACATTTGAATTACTTGCTTATATAAGTCTTTTAAATCCTAAATGCAAGATTAAAAGCACATTAAAATGTTCTAGCTTAAATGTGTACATCGTGCTCTGTGGAAAAAAATAGGGGCAAATTTTCAATGAAAATATATGCAACCATACCTTTCTGAAATTTGAGAGTTTATTTTCACTGTGTTTATTATAATCTATAATCTATTTTAAATGAATGTTGCTTTCTATTTGACTTTTTATTCTCCCCCCCCACCCCCATTCGTTTCATAATGATTTATGTCTCTCAGAAAGGTGAAAGTAAACTGTTCTACACTTCTGGTAAGGAATCCAGTTTTTGAAGTGCACACACAGATGGAAGTGCTTTCAGAGGGTAAACCACAGTGGCTTAAACTTCTGTGTTAGTACATAATGATAGGTGTTCAGGACTCAAGCTCCTTTTTCTTTCATTTTAAAGCTAGGCAAAACATTGGGAAAATTCATATCTGGTGGGTGACATTGTACCCAGTGAAAATGTTTTGAAAGGTAATGAATGTGTTTTGACTTCTTGACAGATTCTTTTCAAGGGTTAAATGTTTACAAAGAAAGTAAAAAGAGAGAAGACTTTTTTTAATTTTTCAGAATATTTCCTTCTGTATATTAAATACATTCACAAAATATGATCTTTACAAATTCACATTAATTTTGAAAACCTTAGAAAATTACTACTGGAAAGAACCAATAATGACAAGTTTTCTTAGAACCATAGTTTTGCTCTTGGGAAGTGCTTTTGATCTCTGAAAAGGAATCACTCAAAATAGTTAATAAATTTAAACTCTTTGTGCTTGATTCATGAATTAATTAAAATGTTCAGAGTGGTGCTAATTGTCAAAACTGAGTGTTGCAAAGTTCTTGCCACAATATCTTTAATATGCCAGACTCTGAAGCCTGAACATCTACTTGCAGTACTCAAAAATACTTTTTGCTTTTGTTCTGTGCCATTTTGAGGTCACTGTGTTTCATAGTTTCTGCTGAACAAGGTGAGAGCAACACAGACGTACAAACAGCAACAAAAAATTTGTACCTTCAGAGGCTAAAAGAAGCACTAACAAAACTCAAAATCACAAAGCAGTTTGCATTGTGCATTGAAAAGTTGTTCCCTTGCAAATGTTTACATAGCATAATCTTACTCACGAATCCAGCGTCTTCATTTTGGTAACTTTGTCAAAAGTCCCTCCCCAGCCTTCCTGGAGCCCCTTCAGGTACTAGGAGGCCGCTATAAGATCTCCCTGGAGCCTTCTCTTCTCCAGGCTGAACAGCCCCAACTCTCTCAGCCTGTCCTCATAGGAGAGGTGCTCCAGCCCTCGGATGATCCTCGTGGCCTCCTCTGGACTCGCTCCAGTAGGGAATCCAAGTTGCTACTGACAATATAATCTAGGAAATTGTAATATAATGATATTTTCATATGGATGTGTAATTTTTCTGTCTTTAGGGGAGGAAATGTTCTTTTTACATAGTTACAAAAAAATACCAAAATTCTTATTCTCTGAACTTTGAATTGCTGAAATGTCACAGCTGATATATTTACCGTGTAATTCACAGAGTCAAGGTTTTTGTCAAAAATCTATGGGTACTTTTTCTTAAAACTTGGTTGTAAACAAATGTGTGTGAAGTGCTTTGGTTACAATGATCTTGCTAAGCTTAACAGCCTTAACTGCGCATATAATGTACAGTTTGCAAGTACTAACATAACTTTTTGTTCTTTTTATTCTGCAACATCCTTCATTCCTTTCTCAAAAATTACGCATTTTATATTAATCACCTTTGAATTACATCTTCGTCATTACCATACAATCCTAATGCCATATATGAAATGCTGCTGCCCCCTTTTATTCCCCTTCTGGTCCTTATACCACCATGATTGGACTGGTTATCATTCCCCTCCAGCAGACCCATCCCTCAGTCTTCCTCCTGTCTCCTTCAACACACTTACACAGGCACAAACATGGGACAACTTTAGCTACAGTATCCCATCTGAAGGAAACAGTGACAATGGTAGGTGTTCCATATATAATTTACTTATTGTTTCTGAAAACACAGAATTATATGGCAAACGCCCCATATGGCTGAAAGACAGTACTCTTGAGGGGATGGTTATAAGACTGAATACCTCAGAGGATGCACGTTAATTTACTGTAAAATATGTAGTATCTAAAGTACATAAATGAGTGAAGAATGTCACTGTTTTCAAGTCTGGCAAAACAACCTTTCCCATGATATCCACTCCAAAAAACTATTTCCAGTGTAGGTTTATTTACTTGCTTTACTTTCAAGGGTTTATAAAAGTTGTACTCAAACAGCAACTAATTTTGCTACCATCTTTTCTGCATTTTTAATTTATTATTTTTTTGATAGATACTGACTGTTAATAAAAATATCCTGCTCCCATCTGCAGTTATTGATGCAGGTGCATAACTAGCTTAATTGGAAGACAAATCTGTGAAGAAACAAAGCTGAAATAATCAGCTAAGCAAAAAGCATAGTGATTTCTGTCCAACAGAAACTGTTAGTAAGCTATCAAATGTCTCTGCATGGTGAAGGCCAGGTACATTAGTGGTTGTTGTTACTTCTACTTTTGTTTTTTCTCGAGGGTGGTATTATCATAGTAGATTGAATCTTGGCACTTATATGCAAAGCTGGCCGTGTTTGGGCTATCAGGATCTTATACTGCATTAATAGTTAAATGTCAGATGGAAGAAACAGAACCTAGACAATTAAACTGTTTACAAATATTTGATAGGCTGATTTTTTTTAAAGTAGGCCTGTTCTTCCAGTTTCCCTAAATTAGAAGGATGCTTAGGTATTAGAAGGCAGTGAATCTGTCAAGTGCACAAGATTGAAACCAAGACCACAAATCTTGACTGATAAATGCCAACATTTAATTTAGAATGCCTGCTTTCTTAGTTCAATTCATTACTTGCCAATGCTCGCTATTGCCACAGTGTTCTTGATTATAAAATCAAAAAGCATATTTAAGGAATCGACTCTGTAAAGGAAATGAGTATGGAATGTAAGAATTGTGATAACAGTAGATTGAAAACCTGAATTTAGTTCAGGATGGTTTGCAGCTAACTTGGATGTTTTGCTTGATGAATATTCTAACAGAGAAAGCTCTATACTTTTATCAGTGCAGAATTTGATTTATATTAATCTAGATTTGTTAATGTTTTACTCTTCTAAGTGAAATGAGCAGTAGAGACCAGCATGTTCTTGTGCTTTTGGAGCAGATTGATGTCTCATGTCATTCAAATCTTAAGCCAAATGCAAATATTGTTTTATTACCTTGGGCTGTTACAACAGAAAACTGCTTTTACAATTTAAAAAAAAAAAAAAAAAATAATCAGGACTGTTGCCTTTCTGTTTAGAGTTTGTTATCTGGGGCTAAGTTTGTTATCTAAGGTGTATCTTCCTATGGCAGGAAGTAAAGTGTATCAGAGGCCGTACTCTGTCACTGAGGTTAGTTGGCACAGTGTGATTCAAATCCATATGTAAGCACTCTTACTTCCCAAAACAGGATGGCTGCGTTTAAGGAAATATCCTTTGCCTGTGCTATTCCCCGAGCTATTCCTAGGCATTGTGTAGAAGAGAGGTGGGTTTGCACTGACCAGAACTGTGCCAGGAAGCAACAACATTAATAGTATCGATGTGTGCAGGCCATGCACTAGCCCTGTCTGTGTAACTTGCTAGTATTCCTGTAGCCTTTGGTATAGAAATTACATGCATCAGTATAGCACGTTAGTACTTCAGATCATCTTTAAATGTAACTACCTGGCAACAGCTTTGTAATAAAGGAGCCTAAGTCCAGAAATTCTGGGAGGTTTTATAAGACTTGGAACAGACAGGTCTCCCAAGACCAGTGTCCATAGCATTATGGAGGCTTTGATTTAGCAAATGACTTTGTATAATAACTCCACTGTTACTCAAATTTGTACTGAATAAATCAATCAAAGAGAAATTTAACTATAAACTTTTAGCCTGACTTCATCTCTGCCTGTCGTTAGTCCAGTCTTCTTTTTGTCTATTATTTTTAGAGTCAGGTTAAACCATTTTGTTGCTTACCTTCAGGAAAGCAGGATAATATTGTCAAACTAAGTACTCGGGACACTAAATTCCTTGATGTGCTATAAATAGTGCACCTGTGTACATTGTAACTCAGGACAAAAATTAAAATTTTCACAAGGAAGTTTGTCCTTGACTGTGATATATGGAATACATATCATGTTACTAACTACTACCCATTTAACTTGTTGAGACTTTTACCAAATACTTTAAAAAAAATTATTGGAACAAGTATTACATAATAATCTTGGTTGACCATGGGTTCAGAAAGCAGGAACTTGCTCTTGGAAAGAGTACAAAAATAGACCTTCAGGGCTGTGTGAGGTATGGACTCCCCTTGCTGGAAACTGTGTGTAATGCAGAGAAGCAAGCAATACTTAGAACTGATAAAACTTCCTGTATTAGAACAGTTTTCTTTAAATTTTATATATAACTGAAACTTTTATAATTAATGCTCTTGAGTGTATGGGGTTTTTGGTTTGTTTTTTAATCCATTAAACTTATTTTATTTTATTTAGAAACTTGTAATTGTAGTTTCCCACTGCCTTGAGATCAGCCTGCCTTTTTCTTTATGGTGAAATATATGTCTCATTCATAAACAGAATGGAATAAGTAATGTTGATATTTACTTTTCATTAACAGATGTTTGTAGTCTGAAATCAGAAGGAAGTAGATCTTGGGATATTGATATTGACTTAGCAAAGGCCTAAACACAGATAGCTGTGGCCACATTGAATGAAATCCATGATAATACTCTGATACTTGCAAAATTGAACATAAATATGAACTAATACTTTCACAGAGAATCTTTAGAAATGTTGCTGCTGCTAACAAAGCTACAGTGACATTTAAATACCATTTAAATATGGTATTGCTCTTCAAGCATAGTTTTATCTAGGTATTTCATCTGTGAGAGGCAGCAAAGCTCAGTTATTGGAGTTGTACATTGAACTATTTCTAAAATGAAAGTCTGACAAATTGCAACTACAGATTTTAATAAATGTGATAAGAGATTTTTATTTCACCTCTTAAAAAATTAGGAGAAGTCTCCAATAAATTGTTTCAGATTTACTAATGCAGAAATTTGAATTCAGTACAGTTCTGGAGATTAATAGAGGTCCTGGCTAAGAGTTTCTGCACTTTGAAAACTTGGGATTTGATTTTTTTGTTGTTGTTGTAGCCATCCTAAACTATATGATTTACTAAGTAATATTTTAGATATTTCTAGTTGTTTAATTTTCACCATATATAAGTGCTTTAATCAGAAATTTACCAACATATTAATTAGTTTGAAATTATCTAATTTGGTAGGTAATGCTTTTGAAATGGTGTAGTTAAATCAGGTATTTGGAGTGTTATACTTCATAACAACAGTAGTTACAGCTGTTAACAGCCTTTGTATGTTTGTGTGTGTGTAATCATAGTTACACATATGCCTCTGCAAAATATTAAGCAGCACATGTCTGTTGATAGACTGTGCTTTGGAAATAGAGCTCTATTCTGAGCTTGGAGTTTGCCTTCTATGAAGGCAAAGACTTAATGTCAGTACAACTGTGGGCCTATTGCATCTGAAGGCATGGCTCTGCTACTGTCACATTATGTGGGGGAGGGCAGCATAATGGATGTTTTTATTTATGGTATGTGTGCCTGTGTGCAGATCCTTCTGAATGACGACACTGGTGAAGCTATGTAGTCCACCTGGAGAAGGGAACCGAGCTGCAGTTGGTATCTGTAGTTCTGTCCTGCATGTTTTCTCCAGGATGCTCTCCCAGTCTGCCAGTGGGAGTTCTGATGACTTTAAAAAGGATATAGTTTTATGTTAGTAAACGTTAATATTTAGGTGTTCTATTTAAAAGCCGTTTAATAGCCTTTAATATGGCATTTCCTAAAATTACTGATTTAACAGCAGTGTAGAGTATCTCAGTTGCCTGTGAGAAGTTAAAACTATGACTGTGTGAGTTAAGTACTGGAAAGAAACTAGTTTAGTAACTGGCCATAGTTTATTCTATCTTGAAGCCTCAAATAAGTAACCTAAGGATATGTAAGGAGTTCATTGCCTTAAGCCCCTTTTTTAGTAAATAAGGGAAAGAACTTCTGCCTGTTGGCTGTAGTGCCTGTCCCTTTGGCTAGAGAAATAGAAGATTAATTTTGTTAATTAAACAATCTGCTTACAGTTAGGTGAAATTCCTCATGACTAGACTTGTCTGAGATTTCAAAGTATTTCTCGTACTGATTTGGGGACTTCATTAAACAGTTTACTTCTGGTCAGAATGTAGATGAAATTTCCTTCTACCGGGAGTTAATTTTTTTTATTTTGTTAGATATTTTGAGGACTGATTTTTAAAATTCAGCTTATTACCCAAATCACAACTTAAATAAAATGACTGATGTGCAACAGTTTTTAATGGAACATCAAAATTACTATGGTTACACCCATGTGTACCTTTCTTACAGTGAAGAGTAATTAATCATTTTTCACTCCTCTAATGGGTGCTATTGGCAATTCATACACTTCCAATTTTCTGATGTGCCTTTTTAGGAAAAAAAGGGTTCTCTTCTCTCCTGTTACTTATGGACCCAAAAAATTGTCCTCTCTTTCTTAAATGGCCTTAAATTAACAAAATTGAGACTGAGCAGTAGCTGTATATAAAAATGGAGGTTTCTAGGCTTTGTGCTTTCCACCCCATTAATTGATACTTTGGGTTTCATGTTGCGTTCAGGAGAGAGGCAGGAAAATAATAATTCAAATCACTTCTTTCTTTTAAGCAATATAATTTTCCATAATAATAAAGTTGGCCTATAATTTGAGTGGCAAACAGGTGACAGTTGCATTTTGAGTGTTCATCTTCTTGCTCTTTTTTTTCCATTCAAAACATTTTTAATAAAAAGGAAGTGTACAGGTGCATATACACAAAGATTTCTTGTCATTATTTCAAGGATCTCTGTCTAGGCAAAGTGATACAGCTGACAGAACTAGGATTGGTGGGAGGGTGTACTGCAACGAGTTTGTGCAATGCTGTGTTTGCAAGATGACTTTTTAATGTAGGCAGACTTACTGAATGGCAGGTAGGTGGGGTTTGTTTTTTTTTTAGTATGGCCTTATGTAGTAAGCAGTTTGTCCTGTGTAGGAAGATGCTTGTCACAGCTTGTTACACAATTCAGCATCTTGTAGCAGAGGATTCTACTTTAAAGACTAAGAAGTGTTTCCTGCCATGTTAGATACACAGTTTTGTACAGACCAGAATCTCTGAGGGACAGTGACAGTGCTTAATCATCTGATGGAACTTGCTTGTGGAGATAAGGTTATGGTTGAAAAATTATCCACTCCATTGATGGTGCATGATGCTGTTCAGAGCAATAGCCAAAAAATTTCACTTTATGATTGTAATCCAAGATAATATTTTTCTGTACTCCTGAGGATAGAGAAATGTTCTAACAGATTTTGCTGGAGGCAGTGCCAAAGGATTTTGCTTAATTTAAAAATTAATAAATCAAGATGTTTATTTTAAAACTAAAATATGTCTTTTTTAAAATCATAGTTTTCTTAAGACCACAAAGAAATTTGGAATCAATAGACCCACAATTTACAATTCGAAGGAAAATGGAGCAGATGAGAGAAGAGAGAGAGCTTGTGGAACAGCTACGTGAGGTATGTGTTGGTAGAATTAATTTGTGCTACTGGAATGTATTTTATAATTTTTCTTTGGGAAAGTTGTCTAACTAGGAGAATGTTAAAAATATTAAATGAGGCAATATTACTTCTGCAAATCACATTGATGAGACTATTCCTGCAGTGCTTTATCATGGTTAGATGTGGGTGCTTCAGGAAAGGTTTTGTGAAAATGGGAAATAACAATGGGAGGTAACTGGGTGATGTACAGTTAAACAGCATACCTTGCACTGGTGGAATTAATTTAATTTCATCAGAAAGGTTGAAGTTGTCACTTAAGAGGTAGAGAGGTCTAGAAACTATTTCCTCAATCAGAAAGGTTGAAGTTGTCACTTAAGAGGTCTAGAAACTATTTCCTTGCAGCTGGAGAAGTCTTCAGTCTAGCAAGTAAAAAGCATAATGACATCGATTAGTTAAGCTGAAGTTAGAAACTTTTTTTTTTAAAGCAGATAACTAGTGCTCAAAACAACTTACTTAGAAATGAAATTAATATTTCACTTAATATTTCATCACTTGAAGATCTGAATATACAAGATAGTTTCCTGATATATTGTCTTGAGTATAGAAGCTAGAGGCTGATTCAAAAACTGCTGCATGTGGTTGCATAGGGTCTGTGTTACACAGCTAATACTTCAGTAGCACTGTTTGTATGACATCTGTTTGTGTCAAAAAAAAAAAAAAAGTCAGCCTTTTCTGCAAGGAATGTTGTGAGCCTGAACCTGTCAGGGTTTTCAGTTATGTCATGTTGCCAACAGAAGAGATGGTATTGTTATACTCCTAAACACGGTGCAAATCCTGAAAGTGTGGTACGTGACTTTGATATAGCAACTGAAGTACAAGGTTATTTGTTCTCATGTCATTGTCTTCATGGAATTAATTCCAAAATTATTCATTTATTTTAAATAATGTCTTGTATTGTTTATTTTTAAATCAAGAGCGTTAACTTTTTTCCTCTTTTTACCAAATAGTGTTTAAAAGGCTGGTTGTATAATGTAGAACTATGAAGACTTTTAGATCTTCATTTTCTTACCTCAGGTCCTCAAATGCTTTAAGTCTGGATTAATTAATTAAGGCTAATCTTACTTTGTCTTGCTGAATTTTCTAGCAACGATCTTGCTGAAGATTCAGCATAGTTAATTGGAGATAGTATATTACGAATTTTAAAGTTGGATTGTGCCAAAAGGACAAGATGCAGGAATTAAATGAGACAGACTTATTGGTAATGGAGAAGAAAATGGAAGTAGCAGAAATAAACTGCAGTAGGATGCAGTTCTTCTGGGCATAGTCTGGACAGCAGCATCAATGCAGCTTTTTACATTTCTTTTAAGAGTTACCACAAGTATGTAACAAGTCCCCAAGTAATTGTTCCTAAAAATAATGTCCTCAAGGTTCCTGCCTTGTGCATTAGCTCAGCTAATTCTCACAGTGAAAAGTAGAACAAGGTTGTTCACCGTATCAGGCATGGTCATGGAGACTTGATAAGGATCTCTCTACACTGTATTAGTATTAGGTATTAACAGTAATAGTGGTTGAATGTGTTACTGACCTTCAGCTCCATGCACTGTCCTTCTTTGCCCGCACCCTGAAGCACTGTGTCCTGAAACGAAAGTTCTGTTGTCTCTTGTGAGAAGTTTGATTACAAGTCAAGGAGTGGTGACAGAAGCTAGAAGATGGGCCCTGTTTGGAACCACATAGTGAGATTTTTTGAATTAATGAAGTTTACTTTGGTGTACTGGGTCCTTTAGTGAGAGAAGCAACCTCCAGACCATCTTATTATGTACTGTACAAGAAAATAGCCCAGAACATGCAAGTCATTGAGTTCATATTACTGAATAAACATATCCATTAGTATATATATTAGTTATATATATTTTGCTTTTGAATTGTTTCATGGTATGTTAGAATTTAGTGAGACTCCACAGAACCTGTAGCCGTAACCAAGTTGGGCACTAAACAAAAAGGAACAACTGTTACAGTACTCGGGTTCCTTATTTAGGAATCTAAATACACAGTTACCTTTAGCTCAACTGCTTCACCTGAGCTGTGTATTGTGAGAACTTTGGTGTTTCTTCTGTACATTCCCCACTTTTCTTTAGAATGGTGTGTTTTTACAGAAATTGTTCCATTTCATAAAAATTTTTCTTCAGACATACTTATTTTTATTCCATTTGAGCCATTTGATTTTGTATACATCCACAGTCACTTCAGACAGTTGTCATTTCAAGAGTGATTCTCCACTTAATTTTGAGCAATAGAGTCTAGCAAGAAATACTGGTGGATTTTTGCCACTCAAAGTATAAACTTTCAATAGTTTTGAAGTGCTAAGTGGAACAAATTGCTGCTGTAGTATGGGTGATTTTGAAAAACAGAACAGTTCTTCAATGGTGACAAAATTGAAAGAGAATTGATCCGCTTCTTAAGGTCTTCAATTTTAATTTTTAATTTAATTTTTAATTTAATTTTTAATTTTAATTTAATTAAATCTAGTCTCAAACCATGAACTAGTATTGAAATAGTGTTGTAAGTGCACTGTGCTCATAAAAAAAAGGCATCCTGATCTATACTGAGTAGTCTCCCAACATGCAAATCAGTTTTTTGAGAGAAGGAATTTTTAATAATCAACTTTTATAAACCTATTTGTAACAGATTTAGAAAAAAGTCTCAAAGTATATTCTTTATGTATAACTTTCTGTACATATCTCACATACTAAAATGTTTTCTAATGTATTAATTAATCCAAGGTGAAAGCAAAACATATTACTACACGTGATGCACTCTCTTATTTGACACTAGAGACCATACATGTGAGTACTTTAGTGTGTCTAGTGAAAGAAAAACTGGGAAAATATGACTTCAGTGGAGGCTACTTCATGGTGAATGCACCCAAACAAAGGATGTATGAGCAAGAAGCTAAGAGCTGGATTTATTTCACTTGAAGAAAAGACTGCTGAGAGTATCATATGAGTGTCCTCAGCTGCCTGAAGGGTAGTAATAGAGAAGATAAAGCCAGGCTTTTCAAAGATGCACAGTGAAAGAATGAGGGGCAGTGGCACAAATTACAGAGAAAAAAAATTCAAGTAGTGATAAGGAGAAAATTGTTTGCAATAAGTTTGATGAAACACTGAAAAAGGTTGCCTGGAGGTGTTGTGGAATCTCCTTTCTTGCAGATATCCAGAACTTAGCTAACCAAGGCTCTGATCTCATTTCAAATTTGTTAGACCAGGTGACTTTCAGAAATCCCTTCCAATTTACACTCTCCTTTGATTCTAAAGAGAATAATCTAGTCTCATCTGAAACACCCAGCACACATTGAGGTAATGTATTAGTAGACAATAATGATATTAAGGAGGTTCAACTAGGAATAAGAAATACCTATTTTAAGGTAATAGAAGTAATTATCTCTGAGAGTTAATCTGAGAGTTGTCTCTAAGTATAATGTTGGAATGTCTTCAAGACTGGAGCACAATTTAGGAAACTCATCATATGTGACAATATTATTGTAGGGTTTTTTCCCTGGATAGTTCTCAAATAGAATCATAGAATCATTTTGGTTGGAAAAGACCTTCAGATCATCAGGTCCAACTGTAAACATAGCACTGCCAAGGCCACCACTGAACCATGTCCCAAAGCACCACGTCTACATGTCTTCTAAATACCTCCAGGGACAGTGACTCAACCACTTTCCTGGGCAGCCTGTTCCAATGCTTGACAACCTTTTTGGTGAAGAAATTTTTCCTAATATCCAATCTAAACCTCTCCTGGCACAACTTGAGGCCATTTCCTCTTGTCATATCTCTTGTTACTTGGGAGAAGCTGGGTATACTACCAGCTCACGTTCAGCCGGCTGTCAGCCAATACCTCCAGGTCCTTTTCTGCCAGGCAGCTTTCCAGTCACTCTTCCCCAAGCCTGTAGTGTTGCATGGGGTTGTTGTGCCTGGACCTGGCACTTGGCCTCGTTGAATCTCATACAATTGGCCTCAGCCCATTGATCCAGCCTTTCCAGATCCCTCTATAGAGCCTTCCTACCCTCAAGCAGATCAACACTCCTGCTCAGATTGGTGTCATCTGCAAACTCACTGAGGGTGTACTCTATCCTGTCATTGATAAAGATATTAAACAGTACTGGCCCCAAAACTGAGCCTGGGGAACACCACTTATGACCAGCTGCCAACTGGGTTTAACTCTGTTCACTGCAAGTCTTTGGGCCTGGCCATCCTACCAGTTTTCCATCCAGTGAAGAGTACACCCGTCCAAGCCATGAGCAGCCAGTTTCTGCAGGAGAATGCTGTGGGAAACAGCATCAAAGGCTTTACTAAAGTCTAGGTAGACAATATCCACAGTCTTTCCCTCATCTACTAAACAGGTAATCTTGTCATAGAAGGAGATCAGATAAGTCAGGCAGGACCTGCCTTTTACCTGGGCCTGATCACCTGGTTGTCCTGCACATGTCACATGATGGCACTCAAGATGATCTGCTCCATAACCTTTCCTGGCACTGACATCAGACTGACAGGACTGTAGTTCCCCAGATTCTCCTTCTGACCCTTTTAGATGGGTGTCACATTTGCTAACCTCCAGTCCACTGGTTCCTCCCCAGTTAGCCAGGACTGCTGATAAATAAAGTAGCTTGGTGAGCACCTCTGCCAACTCCCACAGTGCCCTTCGGTGGATCCCAACCAGCCCCATAGACTTGTGTGTGTCTAAGTGCTGTACCAGGTCAAGAGCAGCTGCTCTTACTATTACAGACTGAGGCAAAGGTGGCATTAAGGACCTCAGCCTTTCCCTCATTCGTTGTCACTGTGTTTCCCCCCGCATCCAGTAAAGGATGGAGATTCCCTTGACCCTGCTTTTTTTGCTAATGTATTTATAGAAACAGTGTTTGTTGTCTTTTACAGCATATTTTAAAAGTCTCTTATTTTACAATATCAGATTCTTTTCAATGAGATTTCAGTTTTACTTAATAAGTATCCCAAAATTCTCTTTTATATCTGAATGTTTTGCCTTACCTTACCTGTCTTTCTGATCATTCTAATGCTTCCTAAGTAATTTTTAGGCTCCTAGGAAAAAGATTGCCTTTTACAGTGATTAACACAGTGTGGTTCTGATGCAGAGTGCCAGTGATAAAGAAAATATGCAATGCATAAGTAGAAGACTTGAGGAATGGTGAAAGGAAGGAGCCACATGTAGTACAGTCACATGGCTAATTGCATACATATGTGCTTTTATAGGTATATATAAAAATAAATGCATATTATGACAACAGCTTTTGAAGTGTTGAGTTCTTTTAAAGAAGTTTACATAACTCAGTGACCAACATAGGTTAGAGGAGGTTGGGTTTCAGTTTTTAAAGAATTAGTTATATAAAGGTAGTGTGTTTCTTGGTAAACCAAAGCTGTAAAACTGGCTATGTGTCCACAGCATGGGAGAAGATGAGGATATATATTCCCTTTTTTTCCCCTTCATCCATTTCTATACTAAAGTGTGTATGTGTTCTTTATTTGCAGAACATTGAAACAAGGCTAAAGATTTGTTTACCTGAAGACTTGGGGTCTGCTTTAATGGACGGTGTAGTTCTCTGCCACTTAGTAAATCACGTTCGTCCTCGGTCTGTAGGAAGTATTCATGTACCTTCACCAGCAGTAGTAAGTTGAATGTTTCTTGGTACACTGGAGTGTTTAAAAAATTACTGTTTAATTGCCAAGTGATACCTGGTTACATAAGACAGGTTGCTGTTCAACAAATGTTCTTTGTTAGGAGCAACATTTATATTATTACAAATTCAAATATTCATTAATTTTTATATATTTTATATGTATAATGTCTGTGTGTATATGTGTGTGTCTGTGTGTATATATAATATGTACACACACACACATATATAAGGGAATAAAATTATCCTGCCTCTCTGATCTAGCAACAGATCACATTTTTTCCATAATGAACTTTTTGTTCAGTACACTATGAAATTCTGTGATTACAAGTTTTTGTTATAGGAACCCTTTTTAAATTAAAATTAGCGCCTTGTTCATTGATTGAAGAAATATGAGGTTACCTTTAACAGTGTCTGGCTTAGAGAGGTCATGTAATTTACAGCACTTAGCATATTCTTCCTATTGGGTAAAATGTAGAAATTATTCCTTTTACCTGCAGACAGAATGGAATAGAAACATGCACTGTAGTGGCTTAATATTTGCTTGCCAAACCTAAGGTCCTGAAGATTTCAGGACATAAAATCTTTGTAATCTGTATGTGCATTTCTTGAAACTTATTTTTCTTAGTATTTTCTCTGTTTATTGATGTCTTTCTCTTGGCCAGATCTTTTTTTCGGATTTCTGATACCAGTCTGTCTCTGAAGAAGTTTTGTATGTTTTTAGACTATCTGCCTTTTTTTTTCCTAGTGGAGTTTTTTACTGTTGCTTGGTTTTAAATTACTGCTATCTTTGTTAAAAATACGATATTGCCAAAATATACAAACTTGAATTTCTGGAGTTTTGTTGCTGTTTTGTTGGTTTTGGTTTTGTTTTGTATGTTCATTTGTTTGGGTTTTTTAAGTCTCGTGGTGTTTTCTATAAAAAAAAGCAAAGATTTAAAATCCATTTTCATTTTGTTTCAACTTTATATTTATGATGTTATCTTGCTTGAAATAGCCTTCAAATTACTTTAGGCTAGAAAATAAATTCTTTAAAGTTCCTGCTACAAGACTGAATTCTTGGTTTAATTGGATATACAGGAGTTACCATTGTTTCACATCTTGCATTGAAAAAGTAAAATAGTGAGTTTGGGTGTTTTTTTGTTTTTGTAACATTATATTCCTATAACTATTGGGTGAATAGTCCTGACTGAGACAAATTATGGGAAGTATTTGAAATTCTACAGTAACAGGAAATTTCTTCTTCAGAAACATTAGAATTGTGTATAGTTACTATACATTTGTGAGTACATAAAATGTTTAAATAGTAAGATCCTGTTAATTAGTTAAGTTTATTCCCCATGATGTATGTTGAAATCCTTCATCAGTTTGATTGCTGTCCAGAAAATCAATGTTGTCTGGAACAAATCATCATTAAGAGGCATGTTTTAAAACCTCATAAGGTGGATGTGAACAAGTAGAGATCTAAATGTGCTGGTGACTTTGATAACTAAGTAAAAGCATATGGCATCCACAATTTAGGTACTCAGATCATATTTGTAGGCGTGATGTTTTTAGCGTGGTAGAAAAAAAAGCTGGGCAGAATTTTATGCATTGTTTTCAGGAGAAATATGGAAAAGGTGTATCAGTACAAGAATAATGCAATAGGTGAATTTATTGACTGAATGAATGTTATTGACTTCTTTTGCCATAAACTATTTTTTCTTGTTTTTACAGCCTAAACTTAGCATGGCCAAATGCAGGAGAAATGTGGAAAACTTTCTAGATGCATGTAGAAAACTGGGGATACCAGAGGTAATTTAATTAACTGTCATTTCTAGATGATCAAAATGCAAAACTTACTTTAAAGCTGAAGGATAACTTTATGAACTACAGTTTTTTTAGCTATAAAGACGTATAATTTAAAAAAATATTTAAATAATGTAATTTAATACTACTTTAGTGCATTTAGATGGCTCATGTCATAGCACTTAAGAATTGCAAATTTTGTCTTAAATTAGTTGTTCATTATTATCCTAAATATGTCCTTGTCTTTGCCATGGAAAATAAAAAAGGAATACGGTAATTAGGTAATATGTAATTAGTCAAAAGTTTCCTGTTTTTTTTTTTTTTATACAAAACTGCATTTTTACCTAGTGCTTTTAGAATATGGGCTTCATTGGTTTTAATTATTGATTTTTCTTTTTTTTGCAATATTAAGTACTCTATAGTATGCATTGTAAAAGCGACTTACAACATTCATCTGTTGTGCTGAAACACTTCTGCAGTGATGTGAAGGAAACCATTGTGTGTTAAGTCTGGAATGTGTGTATGAGTAAGGTTGTACTGGTATGTAGATGCATTTCAGAAGTTGGAAGTAGTGAAATTGCAGTCCTTAGAGTTTTCTGTTTTTCATTTAAGAGTGACAGTATTAATAATGTAATTTATTCTCATATTAATAGGCAAAATATCTTTTTAACTAATGTAATGAATTCTGGAGTTCCATTGGGAATATTTCAAAAACTCTTATGGTCTAGAAGTACCTGTTAAGAGAAAGTTAATTTCAAATACATGACCCTCAAAAGAAGGTAAAAGTGTTATACAAGGCCTTTTTAATCTGAAAACAAGAAAATTGCATGATATATTTTCCCTGTGTTGTTGCCTACATATGACAATGTAATTAAGACTGAGTTATTTTTAGTATGTGTTTCAAGAATGCTGAAACAAAAGGATATTTTGTGTGTATCTCCCTCGCTCCCCTCTCAGGGAGCAGGTGGTAATGCAAAGATTTCACACTAGGAAAGAATTCCAGTTTGAGTTCCTTATATTTTATCTATATTTTATCACTTGATTTGGAGGACACCAAAAGTAACAGTTAATTTTTGTTATTTGTAGGAATTTTGAGGGGGAGACTTTTACAACTCCAGTGAATGGTTCATCATAAATGTAATGTGAGAATTTAGTGTTACGGAACGGGCTTCTAAGCTGTAATGATCGATTTAGTTTTCTTGTAATTATGTAATTTATTATGTTGAAATGATTTCATATTAAAGGAAAAATTTCACTTCAGAGAAGATCAAAATCTCAGTGCTATGGGCTTGTAGACATGGAGTGTTTCTAAAGCTACCCTAAAATTCATTGTCTTCTGATGCATCATAAATTATTCAGTGAATTAAAATACAAGTCAGGTTTTTCTGAGTGTAGCCTGTTGGGAAAGAAAAGGCCAAGAACTGTTTTCATTGTTGTCAAGAGATCTTTCAGAAATGGAAATAACCCAGAAAAAATTACAAAGATCCTTGCAGTGCCATATTACCATATTACAGATGGGTAAGCTAAGCCTTTACTCAGAGGTTTGTTGGGGTTTTATTTTTTTTTTATTTTGGATTTCTATAAGTAATCTTTCTGGAAAAATACCTTTTTATTTTCTATGAACAGACATTTTTAAATGGATTTTATTAAATTATATTTGTTGCAGAGTTGCATAGAGCATTAAACACAAGGCCAGATTTTATCAATCTGATTTATAAAATAACCATCCTTTTGAATCTAAATACGCATTTACTTCTCTTGAGAGGAAAAACTGATTCACTTAAACATTAAATGAACAGATTGCAACTGTGAATTTACAATAGATTTTTTTATTAGCTGTTGGTAATTTACAAATGTATATATTTACTATATATTGTGAAAATCCATCATGTTGCGGAGTTGGTGGTAAATGATATAATTTTGCTGCATGCTGGAGGGACGTGTATTGGAAATACAAAGTTGTATGAGAGCAAGTATGACAGTTTTTAAAGAACTACAGATGGTGTGTTTAATGCTGCTTTGGGTTGGTGAGTTTTACATTGCCTAACTACCACTGGGAAAACCAGTTAAAGGAATGCAGTGACTTATTTCCTTTTTTTTAAAACAAGCATCTTATGGGAAAGTTGTAAGTTCCACTTATGGATATCTTAATACCCATAGGTATTTCTGTAACAATTGTGTCCATATTTAGTTCTTGAGAATTAACTTGAAATTCTGCTGCTTGGAGTTTTTTTTAAGGATTTAAAATTTTCACTAGTTCCTGGTACTATTTTTTTTTTTTAGTTGTTTACAGAATGGAATAGAGTACATGCTATTTCCTGACCTCCACAGGTTTTAAATAATATCCTGTCAAATCATGTAAGACGAAAACAAGAAAATAGCTAAGTAATTACTGTGTTGTGCTGATGTGCAGGGTCTCTTACTTCTGTGACTTTCAGCATTCAATTCTTGGGTCAAAATTGCTTTCCCCAGAATGATCCTGGGAAACTTCATCCAAATGTAGAAAATGCAGTTGGTATCCATATCCAAATATGTCATAATAAGCATCAGGAATTGGTGTCTTTACCAAAGAATTGCAAATACATAATTCAGGAACATGAGCATCTCTTTATAATGACCTGATATGTAGATGATTCTGGAGTCGTGTGCCAGCTGGCGTCAGGAAGCCTTTACCTGCCAGATGAGAATTGCAGTACAATAGGTGCCATGTTCTATTAATGGCCATATGATGCTCCTGATCGTATGCAGAATGGATGTTTTCAGTGTATGATTCTGACCCTTAAATAAGAAACTGAATAGCAAGGCTCTTAGTGCACCGGGAGGCTATCAAAGCTGTGAGGATCGTCAGACCAGCAACTTGTGTCTGGTTTTGCCACTGACTTTTCCTGTAGAGCCTTTTTTTATTCCAGGATATCAGAGATCTTTGTAAACTATAATTTTCTGGAACAAAACAAAATTTTTATTTCATGTGAGAAAGTGATGGTGGCAGGTAAGCATTTGAAAGCCCGAAGATTCAAAAAACATCTTTGCTGTGCCCCTCAGGAGATATACAACAGAAAAGGTACAATCTTTGTCATTCAGAAAACTACAAAAGAAGACTTTATCTTACACTGTTAACTAGAAACTCTTAAGTTGCCTGATCTCCTCTGTAATAGGTATAGAATGACAAACACTCCTAATTTTTGGCTGATACAGATTGAATAAGCAGGTGGCAGTAGATGTGTGGTAAGCAGAAATGCCTGTCCCACTACATTATTCAGGTTGAAATGCAGTACTTTGATGATGCCATTAGCTGGAGTAGACTGTTAATGTTGTATGAAGCTACTAATGACACCACCTATGATACTTGTCCCCCTATATCACACCCACCTTCCCACACTTTCTGGGTTTAAAAGATAAAGCTTTTTTTAAAAATTTATTTTTCTTTGTGTTTAAGTGTGGCCTCTGAAGTGTCAAATGTACCAGTTCTAATGCAGTTTTACTCTTCTTAGTGACATCTCTTCCCAGAGGTGTTAAGAATGATCAGGAGAGTCTGATTTATTATCACAAGTTATGGAAGTATTTTGGTTTCAACTGCTCTTTCATAAAACCAGTAACAATATATGTAAATAAAGACAAAAATATTCATATAATTTTCTTCAACTTGTCAGTTACCACATTAGAATCAGTATTCATACTAGTAGAAAAGAAGTAAGTAATTCCATTTCAACCTGCAAATCAATAACTTAAGCTTTAGCTTTCATTCTTGGTAGTTGTTATTTTGGGTAATCCATATTACACAGCATTTTTTTTCCTATGCACTTTCAGTAATGTTAACAAATATTGCTGTCAAATGGAAAAAAAATAACTGATTTGTGGTGGGATGAATGATACTTCATCATAAGTGAGATTTAGGCCAAAACAAAGCTGTAAATGCAATGTGTTATTTGAAAGGCAAAAGTTACAAGTTTTGGTCTGCATTTCTTCTAGTTCTCAATTATGAACAAATATGGCCTATTAGAAGTAGGACCTTCGAAGCATTTTGTCAAAAAAGAAATTGAACAAAGTAATTTCAACGGTTGTGAGCCAAAATGCAGAAGTTCTCTTTTTATAAAGACACAAATTAGTTTTTATGATCTGCAACTTACACTAGTATCTTAAACAGTTTAGATACTTGAGCATCTTTTGACCCTTTATGGAGCCTTTTAAGCTCAGAGAAATTAGGAAGAGTTATTTTTAAAAAGGAAGACTTTCCCCAAATACACAGATACACCTTGTCAATCTTGATATAGCTTGAAAGAAAGGTAGACTTAAGTTATCATGATTAATACTGGAATGGTAATTCCTGTTGATAGAAGGTAGTGATAAAATGAAATCTTTCACAGCCAGTTGTTACAGGAGGTTTATTGAGCTTCTGTGTTCCAGCACGTCAGTAGCGGTGCAGCAGGTTTTAGTGGGACAAGTTATTTCTTGGGTGGGAAGGAGAGACTTCTTCCATACCTAGAATTTTCAGTCAGCTACTTGGTGTACATATACTGAACGTAAAAGAGTGATAACAAGAAATGGCTTTTTTGATCTCAAATCATCATATTAAGATTCAGATTACAGCAGGCTTAGCTGTGCCCCTTCCTGTGACTTGCAAGTCCTGCAAACGGGAGCTGTTACTACATCTCATCCCCTCCTCTGCAGACTAACTCCACTGTGATGCAACATCAGCCAGAATTATTCTAAAATTCTAAGATTTGCGTTAGTGTAGGAATTGCTAATTGAGTAAAACAAACAGGGGAAAAAAAGGAGGTTTTTGTGTGCTAAACCTGGCAGAACAAAGTAAAAGAAGCATCGAAGCAGAGTGTGTCAAGTGCGTTATCTTCTATCCATCTATTAGTTGTTCAACTGGTAATAGTGTTTCTCAGTTTAATGCAAGGTATATTTTCATTGCCATTTACACTTGTTTTCTGATCAATTCACATAATCAGTTACTTCTCCATAGTTTCATCGTGAGACATCCATGAAGTTGCAGTAAGTTT